CTGCTGCTGCTGCTGCTGCTGCTGCTGCTGCGGGTACTCCGCAGCAACAGACCCCCCCACGTGGACGCCCACGGAGAGCAGCAGCAGCAGCAGCAGCAGCAGCAGCAACAGCAGCAGTAACAACCCCCGATGCTGCAACTCCTGCAGCAGCAGCAGCAGCTGCTACTGCTGCTGCTGCTGCCCCCAGCAGCACGGAGACCCGGACAGAGAGGCAGCAGCGGAGACAGCGAGAAGCAGAAGCAGCAGCAGCAGCAGCAGCAGCAGCAGCAGCAGCAGCAGGTGCTGCTGCTGCTGCAGATGCTGAGGCGCCACCTACCCCGGGGGCCCCCAATAGGTCTTACCGCCAGAGGCCCCCTCGACAGCGTAGACAGCAAGCAGCAGCAGCAGCAGCAGCAGCAGCAGCAGGAGCAGCAGCAGCAGGAGCAGCAGCCGAAGCAGAAGCAGGAGCAGCAGACGGGACATCAGCATGCACAACACCAAGCCCTGCAACAGCAACAACAACAGCAACAGCCACAGCACCAGCAGCAACAGCAGCAGCAGCAGGAGCAGCAGCAGCAGCAGCAGACAGCAGCAGCGCGGCTGCGCCCCCGAGAAGAGAAAGAAGGCCCCGCGGTGCTGAGGCCCTCAGATGCAAATTCGGCTGCTTCGCCGTCACCGAGGAAGAGCTGCAGGAGCTTTCATGCGGTACGTGCTGCAGCAGCAGCAGCAGCAGCAGCAGCAGCAGCAGCAGCAGAGCAGCAGTAGTAGCAGCAGGAGCAGCAGCAGCAGTTGGAGCAGCAGCAGTAGCTGCAACAGTAGCTGCAGCAGTAGCTGCAGCAGTAGCATGGAGAGGAGCAGCAGTAGGGATAGCGGTAGCAGCAGCAGCAGATGCTGCTAAGGAGGCAGCAGCTGCTTCCTCTTCCTCAGGAGCAGCAGCAGCAACAACAGCAGCAACTGCAGCAGCAGCAGCAGCAGCAGCAGCAGCTCGCTCCCAACCTCCTCCACCCCTCGCTCGGATCGATGCATGCGGGCACTGCTTCCACCTGCGCTGCATTCAGGTACACCTCCTGCTGCTGCTGCTGCTGTTGCTGCTGCTGCTGCTGCTTCTGTTGTTGCTGCGGTGCTGCTGCTGCCGCTGCTGCTTTTGTTGCAATATGTGCTGCTGCAGCAGCAGCAGTACCGACTTCTGCTGCAGCTGCTCCTGCCCTTCCCCGTCAAATCCCTGTTGCTATTTCTGTTCCTTCTAGCTACCACTGCCGCTGCTTCTGCTGCTGCTTCTGCTGCTGCTGCTGCTGCTGCTGCTGCTGCTGCTGCTGCTGCTGCAGGTGTGGGCGCAGCGGGAGACATCTTGCCCTTTGTGTAAAGCCGTCTTCTCTTACATTGCTGCCTATCACGGCGCAACCAGAGAACTCCTAGACGTCGTAAGCAAACATTTACCTCAACTTTGGGGCTTTCTCTGCATGCATGCGGGAGGGGTTGTTCGCCTTCTGTTTGTTCTTCTAATATGCCTTTATACCCATGCATGCA